CTCCTCATCTAGCGCTTACAGTGATAACCGCTATTCCAGATAGGTCGGCAAATAGGAGTATATAATATAAATAAGGATTTAAGCGCAAAAGTGGTGTAACTTCATGAAATGCATACCTATATGGAAGATATGGAGGGAATTTAAATTATACAAAATAATTTTATGTAAAATAATCGTATATAATTATAGTAGGTACCTATATAATTATCAAAAAATATATAATGAAAATAGTATCCAAATATAGAATAACTATGTATTTTATTCTTAGTTGGTTTGTTTAAAAAAAAACAAATATACGCGATTAAATTCTGGAAAAATAGTTTCATTTTCTATGTGTAACAATCGCGAAAACCTAAGAACTCGATATTTTAGAATAGAATAGAATAGAAATCGTTTATTACTACGCCACAACAAAAATATACACAGTAATAAAATGAAGATAAAAAAAGATGAAGCTACATTAAAACAAAAAATTAAAATAAAAATAACTGGAAAAAAAGGTATAAAAATAAAATCATACACAACAACAAAGTAAACATGAAATATTTAACACAATTAGATTAAGTGTCATGTGCGCGACTGTGGCGTATGTAACAGGACCCCACTCAGCTATTGTCACCACCGAGAAAAGGCTGTGATTTTAGCGTTATTTAAAGTAATATTTTAGAAGTAAGATAAATGTGGATTACACCACTTTGCGCTGATAATCTCAAATGTTGGAGTTGATACTACCTCAACTCAAATTAAAATTTTTCCCGTACTACGATTCATTTTACTTAGGTCGAGCGGCAGGGATACACTGCCTTTATATCAGAATTAATTTATTTATAAACGTAATTAAAGGCATTTCAAAAATGTATACTATACGTGTTCTATTTCATTCAGTTGATATTAAAAAAATATTGGTATATTATTATCTTAGAATAATAAGGCATAGAATGATAGTTTCATATCAAACGAACTGTCACAAGTGAGGCAAAAATCAAATTCATGTAGGCTAGTTTTAGTAGTAGGTTAATTTTCGGTTTTATACGCGTTACTTCCTTGTGGAATGTGATGTTAGTATCTATTTTATGTTTGTCTGACGTATTTTTACACACATTTACCGCACATTTCGTCATTTTTAGCTAAAATTCTTGAGCTGTTCGCGGTGCAAGTTGACCTTGAGCACTGAAGGCCCGCCCGCTCGTGTAGGCCCATTGGGAGCGCTTCAATTTGCCTCACTTAGTGTGTGCGGACTAGGTTTCTATGCGTTATTATTCTAAGATTATTATATATATATAAAGTATCTATTGAATACGGCTTGTAAAATTTCGAGATAAGTTTGTTTTTTTTCTATCGTGAAAATTGTTAAGAATCGTGTTTTCACACCGAATAGTAATCATTGTAGATCCTCAATTTTACTATAATTTTTTTCAAAGTGATTGATATAAGTATTTCACTGTTATACGGGATCAACCGAAGCCATTTGACATCCCTATATGACATTTCCATCTCCCTCCATTCAGTTTGTTTAAACAAGAAAGATATAGAAGTACCTAACACGTTACTTTGTTTATCCCTCGCCATTAAATTGTTATAAAATGACAGTAGCTAGAGCCTCTAAAGTCCTGTAGAAATAAAACAGACAGTGTTACAAGTCGTAAAATATTATTGGCATCGTTCGGAAATTACTATGCCTCAGAATATAGCGGCAAAGTAATTTCGCTTAAGCCAGAAAAACAACGGGACAGCAGAAAAATAACATACTACACAAAGTAATAATATAATAATGGTCATTTGTTGTATACAGTTTCTACGCACTGGGATGACAAAAGTAACCCGGTTTTAACCGACTTCAAAAAAGAGGGTACCTTATTTATTAGTTTAGCAACAGCTTAACATACTTAACATTTACATACATTATTAAAATAATACAAGACTAGCGTGTGAGCCAATTACAGCCGAACAAATCATTGTCATATTCACTTAAAAATAACATAATTAAAATAATAAACTATTTTTACATTATACTGTTATACATACACATTTGATTCCTGTTATTTATATTAGAACAATTTTAAATGAATCTTAAATATACATAAAAAACAAAATTGTAATGTCCAAAAATTAAAAATAAATAAAAATATAATTATCTACCAATATTTGACGGGTGGGCCGCGACAACTTTGTCCTTGCAACGGGGTAAACTGTCAAAATCTGCATGACTACTCAGGCTATTGTAGTTGGAAAGAATCCTGGATATAATTATAACAAACTAGTGAAGTTTTTCACAAAATAAAACAAACCAATAATACATAATGTTTATCTTTAAGTATCGTTTGAAAGATTATGTAGTGACAAGGATAGAGAGAGGGATGCTTCGATGGTTTGGTCACATGACCAAATTGTGATTGACGGCACAAATTTATAGAGCGAATGTGGATGGAAGCGTGGGGAGAGATAGAATTCGGCGAAAATATCTCAATCAGATTGAGGATGTCCTTAAAAAGGCCGGGTTAAAAGTACCTACCAAGAATAAAGGGAGTGAAGGAGGCGAAAGAGGTTGGTCAGGAGCGTAGCAAGTGGAGGTCCATAGACTCTGCCTACCCCGGTGATAGACAGGCGTGGATATATACTCACGTATGTTAAGTATGGCATTTAATTTATTTTCTTTTTTCAGTTACTATCCCATTCCAGGTCAAAGGCCTCTCTTCCCTTACTCTTTAACGCCGTTTTAACGCCGCTACAGGCCGAGATCTCATAATAATCAGCTCGTCACGCCATCTCCTTCTGGGCCTTTCACGTCTCCATCTACCGTTGGGTAGAATCTCACTTGACATGCGGAAATTTTAAAGGACGTATAAAACGTGAAAAGTGATAAGGAAATTAAAAAAAATACACGGAACGTTTTCCCACTAATTTCATGGCCACAACAATAAATAGCTAATTGACTATCGCGACGTTAAAGCTCTGCTACTGGTCCAATATGCCATAACAATATCTTTAATAATATTAACCATTAATTTAGTTGGAATATTAAGCTGTAGGCTTCGAATAATAACGCATAGAAACCTAGTCCGCATACGCTAAGTGAGGCAAATTGAAGCGCGCCAAAAGGGCCTACACGAGCGGGCGGGCCTTCAGTGCTCAAGGTCAACTTGCACCGCGAACAGATCAAGAATTTTAGCTAAAAATGACGAAATGTGCGGTAAATGAGTGTAAAAATACGTCAGACAAACATAAAATAGATACTAACATCACATTCCACAAGGAAGTAACGCGTTTCAACTTGTATTTTTATATAAATATTCACTAAAACCGAAAATTAACCTACTACTAAAACTAGCCTACATTAATTTGATTTTTGCCTCACTTGTGACATTTCGTTTGATATGAAACTATCATTCTATGCGTTATTATTCTAAGGCTGTAGGTAGGTACTACAATTTTATATTTTGTCGCTTACCACATTATTATTCCCCGTCAGGATAAGTTAGTCCCAATATCTATCATAACTCATAATACATAACCATGGTCCGTAACAGATACAGAGCCACTAAGAGCTTTATATCGCAAAGATTTGAGGAGCACTGCCACTTCGTCCGTCATCCTGAGACCAGCACCCGTCAAACCGAAACGC